AGCCTAAAGCGAAAGAAATCATTGTAACACAAACTTAAACTTCAAGTGACAATAAGTTTGCTTACCCTCTTATAACTGAGAAGAGCTAGTTGGGGGACGACTTGAATAAACCAAGTTACTTAAAACGCCATTCTAAGGAACCTGAAGAAACGTCTTCTTTCTCTCCGAATATATTTCCTTTAATAAGTACAAGAATTCAAAGGCGTTCTGTGGAACCAAGAGCTGCCGAGTTTGGAAATGGTCAATACCGGTTTGTAGCGGCCTGAATGCTGACGCGCGTTTCTAACCCCTGAAAGGCGCGTTGTAAAGCCACAGGCTTACCGGAGGCCCCCAAACGGCTCTGTTCATCAGATCCTCAGGGTCTCAGTAATTCTTCAGTTACTTATTTAGGACAAAAATAAATAACTAATAATTCCCTTTATTAAACAGGTCCAAATAACTTATTATGTATTTATGTCCTAACAGTAGCTGCCATATTATTTTTTTTGGGGAAAAAGCCATATAAATTGAGAGAAAAATATATTTTTATTTCATTTACAATCACAACGACCTCCTCACGGGGGGTGTGCCTGGCGGGCACCGCACGGCTCTGTAACCTTGCGGCCAGGGTGGACGCCACCGTCCTCCTTTCCTACGCACGTTGATTTTTGAAGGCAGTTGCTTCTTACCACCAAAACCTTCAAAAACCTTGTTTCCCAAAGGTACCTCAGCAAGAATGCAGTGTGTTCCACGGTTGAAGCAGAACTATCTCCAGCTAGGAGTTTGTATGACAGATGTCCTGTGTCACTGTATTTCCTTTGGAAATTAAAGGTCCTGCAGTGCCCCGTGCGTTTGCTGCAGGCCTGGGTGCCTTGATGCGGCTCGGGAGCCGAATATGTTCACCAGGTCTCTGCTCCTCGCTCCACTCCACTCCACCCCTCAGTTTAGTCAAAGCTACAGTCTAAGCTGCTAAGTGTCAGACCAAATAGAAGCACCGAAAAGAATTGCGAAGCCAGATGATGTCTGCGCTTTGAGGACCTTTTTAACAGGGTATTTTGAAAGCCACAAACAATGAACTGGTCACTAAGCCAGAAGTTCTAAAAATAAACTTGATAATGCAGGGGGTTTGGCCGCCAGGGGCACATCCCGGGCTCTCTGGTTGTGAAGGACAATCAGAAGGGGAGGCAATGCCATCAGCTAGACCAGCCCCAGATGGCTGGAGAAACTGCGGAGGGGCCGTGGGGAAGGAGGACAGTGGGGGAGATGTTTATGAGGCCAAGCGAACAGGCCTCGACCTACTGCATTGAGGGGCAGCCGTCTTCCCCCTAACTTTCTGAAGTTCTTGTCTTTCCCTCACACCGGGCAGAGGTTTCTGTCCACTCCTCCCACCCAAGGCTGGTGGGGGAGCAAGGGCATCACCTCTTTGTCCTGACTCCTCCTTTCTCCCCTCTGTCCTGCACCGGGCTGGGAGGGCAGGGCCTTTCCTATCATATCCCAAATTCTTTGTGGGAAACTAGACAATCGAGTGCACAGGTTGCAGGTTCAATACACCAAGGTTGTAGGTTCGATTCCCAGCCCTGGTTGGGGCACATGTAGGAGGCAACCCATGGGTATGTCTCCCTCATATCGATGCTTCTCTCCCTCTCTCCCTCCCTCCCTTCCACTCTAAAAAAAAAAAAAAAGAAAAAAAAAAATCAATGGAAAAAACGTCCTCAGGCAAGGATTAACACCACCAAACAACAATAAAAAATAAAGAATGCACATGTAGTATGCTCTCAATATACAATAGCTAAAAAAATATATCCAAAATACACCAACGAACAACGAACATTTTCGGGACAAGGCAGCTGTAAGAAAATGAAGAGCCTTAAAGGAGCAAGGAGCAGGACGCCCAGGAAAGGGGCTCCTAGAATCCAAGAAGACAATTTCCAGGAGATTAAAAAAACAAAAAAACAAACCACACACACAACAGTGTCCTGGAGCAGATAAAGGAAGAAGTACTGGAAGGGGCAGCGAATCAGTGGAGTTCCTCGCTGCATCGAAGGAGAGACCACTGGCCGGAGCCAGACAGTGGCGGGTTGAGGCATAACAGAGGTAGTGAGTGAAGAGAGTGAGTGAAGACAGTTCTAAGAAGTTTGGATCTGTAGGGAAAGGGAAAGATGGAGCAGGAGCCGAAGGTGATGCAGGACTGACGAAAAGCCTTATTTTAAAAAACTTTCTTTATTTGGGGGATGCCTGGAATATGTTTTGTAGGCTGAGAGCTGAAGGATCAGAGAAGAGAGAGGGCTTTCCTGCTGCTTTTGGATTGTGTATAATCTCTCCTTCTTTTAAACTCCTTTATGGCCCGGCCGGAGTGGCTCAGTGGTTGAGCTTTGACCTAGGATCCAGGAGATCCTGGTTCGATTCCCAGCCAGGGCACATGCCCTGGTTGCGGGCTCGATACACAGTGGGGGGCCTGTAGGAGGCAGCCTATCAGTGACTCTCTCATTGTTGATGTTTCTCTCTCCCTCTCCCTCTCCCTTCCTCGCTCTGAAATCAATAAAGATATGTTTTAAAAAACAAAACAGAAACAAACTCCTTTACGGCAGGCATTTATAACTGTCATGCCCCTCCAGTAGAGATGAAGCTCAGTAGCGGCAGGCCTGCGCCTCGCATGACATCCTATCGATACACACACTAGGCCTGCAAGTGGCCTGAATGTGGCCACATCCTCTTTGGTGGACTTTGCTTCCTCTAACCCTGTCACGCCCAACTGGCCAGCCACCGTCCTTCACCACGTGCCATCACCGGAGTCCACACTCAAAACACTGGCAGGTGACACAGAGGGGAGATGGATGAGGGGGCTTTCTGTACAGCACACAGTACCTTAACCCAAATTCTCTAAACTGAAGCCTATGCTCGAGAGTCTCCAAGTTCTCCCAAGTCTTTTTCACGGCCACGCTGCCTGGGGTTCTTCTCTCCGCTCCTCCCCCAGACTCTGAAGGCCCTGCTGATTGCGCTGAGCAACGGAACTCTTCCCCTCAGCCCGCACAGGCCAGACTGGGACCGGCCCTGTTCCCTAAGCATGCTGCTTGGAGACCTCAGTTTACCTTATAGCCATCTGTGTATACATGTACGTCTCTTAACACCCACTAAATGCCTCTACCAGTATTTCTCAAACGATGGCCCACAGGCCACCTGCATCAGTCACCTGGCTGCTTTAACAAGCAGATTTCTGGGCCCCGCACCTGCTGAATCAGAACCTCTGGGGGTGGGGCAGGTACCTATAGATACCTGAGAACCAGTGGCTGTACACTGTGCGGGGCTGGTCTGTATGCGTCTCCTTCCAATGACTCTGTGGCCCTTAATGTATCCACAAAAACCCTGGATTTCTAGGCATTTGGATGTGCATCCACCCTACATGAACTGACCTTGAACTACCAAGGGTCCTAGTCCCCGTGGCTCCCGTCCTCTCCTTCTGCTTGTCTTCACCCTTGACCAGCACCACTTCTCTTCTCCCACCATTCACATTCAGTCACCTTGTGGGCAGCTCAAATCCCACCTGCACAGCTCGGAGCCCCTCAATCAGCCTTGTACCTTGCTTGTTTCTTGTTAAAATGATAAATATTTCCTGAGCATATGTATCGTTACCTGAAGAGCAGGTAAGCTTCTATGAACGGCTGGGCTGTAACTCTTTTTGCTTTTCTCAGAGCAGCCAGCAGAGAAGGGCGTCCCTGACAGTGCTGGCTGGCTGAGTGACTGGAGGGGCCATGAAGGAGGCTCCGTGCGGCTGGAGCAGCACTCTCCGGGAAGCCCGTCTCCTTGGGAATGCATCCGGCCCCCGTCAGCCCTCCCGGCTGGAATTCTGGGGTGTAGACATGATTCAGGAATAGGAAAGGAGACGGGCTCACTCTGAAAATAGACGGCATGTTCAGAAAGCAAAGGAAACCTTCACTCATTTTTACCTTTTTGTTTTTTTTATCCGATCTTGGGTAATTAAAAATTAGCTTTTAAAGACAACAGATTTACTGTGAGGAACAGAACTGCTGCTGAAAGACGGCGATAATATACTAAAAATGTACCGCTCTTCCCTCTCCACAGATGCCAACAGCCCCTTCAGCAGCAGACAGAGAGGGCAGGGCCTGGGAACAGAGACTATGCCAAAGAGGGCCCGTCTCTCAGTGTTCTCCCTTCTCCTCTGGCCTTGGGCTTTACTACCGTGGGAACTGGAACACTTTTAATTGTTGGTATTTTATATTGATTGATTTTTTTCTTCTTTTAGAGAGAAGAAGGGAGAGAGGGAGTGAGAAACACTGATTTGTTGTTCCACTTATCTATACATTCATTGGTTGATTCTTGTATGTGCCCAGACTGAGGATCGAACCTGCAACCTTGGTGTATCGGGATGATGCTCTAACCAATTGAGCTACCTGGCCAGGGCCTAACTGTTGGTATTTTATAAAGGATAGTGGAGGCTACTGGTAGCTCAGAGGTAAGTTCCTAAAAAGAACCCCTTAATTGTTCTCTCTCGCATCAGACTGGAAAGCAGGTGCCCCCACACGGGCTTTTGCTGGCCGTGGTGTTTAAGCCTCCTGGCATCCTGCCCCACCCCAGGTGCTTTCCCAGTGTCCTCCAGTCCCTTCGGGGGATCCTCTCTTCATTCTGTAACTTACTCTCTCACTTGGGACTACGCATCTCTACCAACTTAGAACGTCTACCCTTTCTGGAAACCTCTTAAACAAGCGAACATTGTGAAGGAATAGAAAAAGTTAAAGACAACAACAAACCAGCAAAGCCAGGGTGCATGCATGTTGTGACAGAGGACCAGTAAACATCATGTCTGAAAGACAGTGTTAAGGCAGTCGGTCTTGTTCAGGTATGTTTTATATTCTTGGAAAGCAGGAACCGAAGCACTCAGGAACCGCAAGATCTATCAGCTGGTCTCTGGATTGAAATAGAGCCATGACCCTAGGTCTGCTACATGTCTTTTTTCTCACTGGGGAGCCAGGTTCATGTTCCAGAAAAAGGATAGGTGAGAGCAGTGCCATGCTAAAGACTGTAGGAATATTTTAATTCATATGTTTCAATTCATTACATAATAATATCACAGTCTATTTTACAAGTTAAATGTATGAGAATGTATGAAATAGAAACGGTAGGAAAAGACTAAATATGGGTCAAGAACATGAATTTTTCCAAAGCCAGGGGCCAAAGGAAGGTATGTCCCCTGCAGGACCCAAGGAGGAGGCAGGGAGGGTGACAGGAAGAGCATCGGCTCCTGCGCTGGCTCCTGGTGTGTGCCTGCCCCATGTTTACCTGGGAAAGAGTCGAGGCGCACCCTCCGCCCTGGCCTGAGGTGGGGAATTGGTCTGGTCAGTGGAAGATGGCAGCTTGAGGGAAAACGCCATCTGGTTACCTACACAGAGCTGGTCCCCTGGTGGCCGCAGGTGGCTTTTGCCGTCCAGGGAATTAGGGGTGGAAGTGTCAAAAATCAAACGTGTGGAGGGAAAAAGTAAACAGTTTCCTCTTTTCCCCCCAAAACCCCAAATTCCTGAAAAGCAAACACGTTCTTCTCTCAGACGTAGAAAAGCCTCACTCTGGATGTGCTTACGAGAAGGTCGTCGTCAAAGAACTTTGTCTCTATGATGACATTCCCACTGTGAGTAAGAAGAGACGGCGAGAGTGATGGGTTAGGCGACAGGCTGCATTTCCACAAAGTGGTTTCAATCTGAGTCTGCTGGGCCCACGGACGGACGCCACCTAGAATCTGGGCTTGGGGACATGGAAATCTGTGTCTCTATGGGGTTAAAAGTCTAACATGACATTTAACTTTTGTGACTAGGTTTGCCATCCTCAAGTTCAGAAATCAGAAGAGAGGGCACGTCTTAAGCCTTGGTACACTGAAGGTCCTTAGCAGAGTGCTCCGCACACAGGGGTGCTTATAAATAGGACTGACTTTCTGATACAAAGGGAAACCTGCAGACCGCAGGGGTGGGTGGTGCCTTTCCCTACACTGCTGCTGTGGGCTGCTGTCCTCCATCTTTGGGTAATAGCACTCTGCTCTTCTTTTAGGGGACCACTAATCTCCAGTCCGTGGGTCCATCAAATGGCCTCTCCCTCACCTGGCAAAGGGGTGGACACAGGATGTAATCTGGGCCAATTAGACTCTCCCCTGAGCAGGATCATTCCCTATGACTGCTTCTTGAGGAAACAATCCACAGATTCCTGCCACCTGCATCTTTTGAGCTGCCCAGAGCTCAGCCCTTTCAACTCTGTCAGGTTAGCCAGGGTCAGTTTCTATGGCTTGCAACCAAAGAACCCCAAACAACATGTCTGTGTTGGGTGGGCAGAGTAGAATTTCATTTTCCTTGGTGGATATCTCAGTGTTTCGAAACCAAACCACTTTTGAACTGAATTAAGGGCAAGAGAGGTACCATTTTTGGGTAATATATGACTTCAATAACCTAAAAAGTAATATATGACTTCAATAACCTAAATATGTTATCGTAGACTTACTGGGTTTAGTACCTGAAAGAAATCAGACCTGGCCAAATGAAAGTTAATAAAATATAAAAAATGCTCTTCTACATACTATGCTGTACTTTCCCAAGGTAATTAATAGCCAGTAGATACATTTTTGCTGGTAATTAATTATAAAATAGGTAAATAAGTAATTCAAGATCTGACTGGTTTATAGAATATAAAAACAGCTGCTGCTGTAATAAAAAAAACTACTAAAGATGCCTAGACTGTGTGGCTCAGTGGTTGAGCGTCGGCCCGTGAACCAAGAGGTGACCAGGGTTCGATTCCTGGGTTGTGGGCTTGACCCCCAGTAGGGGACATGCAGGAGGCAGCTGATCGATGTTTCGCTCTTACATTGATGTTTCTCTCTCTCCCTCTCCCTCCCTTTCTCTCTAAAATCAATAAAACATATTTAAAAATAAGTAAAAAACTACATTAGCAAAAAGTTTTTAAAAAAAACTAAAGACTTATAAGTAACCTCAATTTACAAATTCAACATGGCTTTCATAAAGGACCTGCTCAGAGAGATGACCCAACGTTACACAATTATCTGTGTGAATAACTTGTTACTAGGCACTATTACTAAAACCTCTGAAAGACCAATACCTTTTCCTGAGGGAAAATGGTGGGTGGGCAGTTACTGACAGTGTTTTTAGACAAAGGACAAACTAATGATTCTTTGAGCAGGAAGCAGAGCTATTAAAATGGCAAGCTAGTCTCTGAAAAACCATAACCAAACGTTATCCTCTAAAACAGAATTAGGACTTTGCCAGATTCTGTTAAAGGCCACTCAAACAAAGTACAGGAAAGGGAGGAAATTAGCATGGATTTAATATAATATATATTACATGCCAGTGTCCTTCCATGTCATCTCACTTTATTCTCACTACACACCTGTGAGAGAGGATCATAAATTCTATGTTTGGAGAGTAGAATGGGGCCCAGAGAGGTCAAGTAGATTGTCCGAGGTTGCACAGCTAGTCAGGGTTAGTCAGCAATTTAGTCTAAAGGTCTAATCTAAAGTTTTCTACCCTTTCCATTCTATCACACTGTCTTTTTCAGATGACAAAAGTCAGTAACCTGTAAACTCAGATACCCCCCGATACTCTTTTACCCTCATTTTCAACGCAGGTTGCCGGCCCGCTGGATGGGACCACGAGTCCCGCCTGCCTGGGATGCCTGCTTCTAGACACACTCCACAGCTCCTGCGGCCTGCTCACTCACGTTAGCACGCTGGCGGTCATCATCTGGGACTCGGGTGCTGCCTCTATCAGCGACTGCCAGGTGTTTGTGGAGTTAGGGATCACAAAGCCAAACTCAAAGGACCACTCTGAGGGAAGAAGGAGAAGTGCGTCAGCGGGCATCCCAGATAGAGCCTCACGGCTCCTTGTCCCCTCCTTTAGAGCGAGCCTCTTTTTACCTCGAGAAACCATCAGAAACCTTCCAGGGCAGGGGCATAAAAAAGGACCCCTTTAGGCTGTCCTCTGAACCACACCAGAGGCCTGGTCCCTATGCTCTGGGGTCTAAAGGACTAGGACCATTGGGCAAGTGCAGCATAGGCAAAGTTTTCTTAGAAGTAGGCCGGATGTACATCGTAAACAGAAATACAGAATAGGCCTTTCTGCCCAGCCGGTGTTGCTCAGTGGCTGAGTGCTGACCATGGACCAGGAATTAGCTGGTTTGATTTCCCATTTCCCGGTCAGGGCACATGCCCGGGTTTCGGCTCGACACCCAGCAGGGGCGTGCAGGAGGCAGCTTATCGATGTCGATGCTTCTCTCTCATCGTTGTTTCTATCTTCCTCTCCTTTTCCCTTTCTCTCTCTCTAAAATCAATTTAAAAAAAATAGGCCTTTTTCTTTTTTTAACCCTCACCCAAGGATGTTTTTTCCGTTGCTTTTCAGAGAGTGGAAGGGGGAGAGAGAGAGAGAGAGAGAGAGACACATTGATTGGTCGCCTCCTGCACGCACCCCGACCCAGGCCGGGGACCAAGTCTGCAGCTGAAGTGTGTGCTCTTAATTAGAATCAAACCCGAGACCCTTCAGTCTGAGGGCTGACCCTCTAACCACTGTGCCAAACCAGCTAGGGCAGAACAGGCCTTTTCACTTGGAATTTTATTTCCAGGACGCATATGTGCACTCCTACACCTCATGGTGAAAACTCAATGTGGAGCGGCCTGGCCAGTCAAATCTGTACAAGACTGTACGGAGAACACTGTACAAGGCCCTAGTCAGCAGCTTCCTTGTGACCATGTCGCAATGCCACGTCGGGGACAAAGCAGGCACCAACGCCTGGCCCACAGCGTCAGAAACCCTTTTGTTGGGCTCAAAGCCCCTTGTAGCGCAGGCTTTGTTTCTGTTTGTTTTCACCGGGGGTCCCCAGTCTTGTAGGGTTATAGGAGTCCTGTCACAAACTGAGTTGCAAACTGAATGTTATCAAAGCAGTGCTTTATAGTCTGCTGGGTCTGGCCTTTTGTCCCTGTCACCCTAGGCCTGGATTCCAGACGGAGCCGCGGAGTACCTTCTAGGCATTGCCCTTTGAAGTAAACTTTTTGTTCCAGGCGGAATTTTTCCATTTGCTCTGCTGAAGAGAAGTTCAATTCTCGAGACACTGCCTTGCACTTGAGGATTTTCTTGGGAACACGGGCTGGTGAAAAAAGAGAAAATAAATATTGAAGGCATTCAAAATTAAAACCACATCACTATGATGCTTCAAGTTTCTAGAAACTGATTTAGAGAAGCCATTATTTATGTTAAATTTCAGAGAATGCCTTGGTAACAGAATGACACTTTTTAATTAAAGAGGTCCTCGGTCAAGTGTATTTGATTGGAAGGTCATCAAGGCACATTAGATTTAGTGCATGTAAGGGCCATACCTCATTACTCTCACCAGGAGAGGGGACAAATGGGCAGCTTCTCGCGACTCTGTTCTACTGGTTTTAACCCCTTAGTTTTTCTTTTATTTCAGGGAGATAAAAATGCAAATTTTATTTTTGGGGAAAAAAAGTTGAGATCTTAGTTTGTATTTTGGGGCATATTCTAATGCTAAAATTTCAACACAAAGTGGGTTTTGGGAAGTGAGAGACAGAAACTTAAGAAAGACTAGAAATCTCAATAACACGTGGATTAACATGCTGTGCCTCTAGGGTTCACCCTCCTGTTGGGTCTGCTCGCAAGTCATCCCAGGCAGGTGCAGACAAAGGGTTGGAAAGTACCTTCATGCTCCACTCCAGGGACTGACAGGTCTTCTGTTCCTTGCCAGAGTATCTTCCCTGTCTCGGCATCCCGGAGGTTCATCCAATTTCTGATCAGATATATTGAGGAAAAATAAGGCCCTGAAAGTGACTCCTCCTTTGCGCTTGGCCTAACTGCTAAGCGCCATGCAGGCAAATAAGACTGTGTAGGGGAGCCTACAAGACATATAAGTAAGAAGCATAAAACCCAGAGGAGACATTTTCATCTATAACATAAGAACCCAAAGACTGTACATATCTAGAAAGAGGTAAAAAATGTACAGTGCAAATTTAAAATTTTCCAACAGAATCTGACCATCCGACCAGCCAAGATAAAAGACCTAAAGTAACAGATATGAGACGTATTCCAGGAAACGACTCAGGCGGATCAACATACAGTGAAGATCACAGTCCATAAGTTCTACTCACAAGTCCAGAGCTCTCAAGTAGCTTTTCAATGGCCTGCTCCTTAATATGAGAAGAGAGCCAACGATCACCAGAAACTCAAGAGAGCATTTGCTGTGAAAAGCGGACCAAAACAAAGAGAAAAACGCAACTTAGAGGAAAAAAGAGGCTACAAAGGAAGATAGAAATTTTTAAAAAGGAGCATTAAAAACAAACAAAAACAACCAGAGACAACATAACCCTTACAGGCACTAAAAATTATATACAATTGAATTTTGTGTATTTTTAGGTGATTTTCTCTGACTCAAGATGACAACTTTTGAGGTTGGTCAATTGATAATCTTTCCATCAGAAAATACCTTCTAACATAATTAATTATATTTTCTAGCCTCTGTATTGTTCACTGTACAATAAACAAGTCAATAATACCAATTTAAAAAAAAAGAACACTCAGAGAAAAAAGAAGTCTAGAAAAACATACATTTTGACAGCAAGGGTTGGAAAACAAAGTTGAAAAACTCTTTCAGAATGAGAAAGACAGCCCTGGCAGGTGTGGCTCAGTTGGCTGGGCATCATCCCATGCACTGAAAGGTGGCCAGTTGAATTCCTGGTCAGGGCACATGCCCCAGTTGCGGGCTTGATCCCAGGTAAGGGGCATGCAGGAGGCAGCCCATTGATGTTTTCTCTCATCGATGTTTCTCTCTCTCTCCCTTTCTGTTCCTCTCTCTCTAAAAATCAATAAAAAACAAAAAAACAAACCAATGATAATATGCTCTTTCAAAATGACAGAGGACATTAAGGAAGAGGGAAACACTGGATCCAGGAAAGCATGGGACAGGTGAGGGTGTCCTCGGAGTGACGGTGAAGGAGATCCCAGAAATATTGCAGCTCTTTAAGCAGGACTGGAGGGTGCCTGGGGTGCAGACATGAGCAGGTCAGAATGCTCAGGGAGAGATTTTCTTTTAAGAAGATGAAACTCATAGAATGTGTTTATATGGAAAGTAGAATTATGTAATTAGGGGAGGTGTGGGGGTTCAATTAGTGAGAAGTACAGAAAATTTAAGCAAATGAATAAAAACCAAGACAGTTATTAACATCAGGGGAGAAAAAATCAAAGGTGGTCCTGGAAGTAAGCAGTAGTCACAGTAGACCATGTGACTTCATTGCAAATGGTGTTGACAGTCATAATAACAGATCCAATGCAGTTATCCTGGGAGGCTGGGCAAAGAGGAGTACAAATGTACGGTCAGCTGTAGAGTGTTGAGAAACCATGAAGCTCATTTTCCAGAGTGAGAAGTCAATAAATAATGCCTACAAAAAAGCATTATGACATAGCCACAGTGTACTGTTTAGAAATATCAAGATAAATGTCAAATAAATCAGCTAGAAAGAATTGAAAACAGTTTTCTTTGGGGAGTAAAAGACAGGAGAAGGAGGACATGGAAAACCGTTCTTCATCAGAAACTGGGTAGAACCAAGACTCTCAACAATGCACACGTGCAACTTTGATAAAAGTTTCGATTAAGCCTGGCCGGGCGTGGCTCAGCGGTTGAGCGTTGGCCTAGGATCCAGGAGATCGTGGTTCAGTTCCAGGTCAGGGCACATGCCCGGGTTGCGGGCTCAATCCCCAGTTGGGGGTGTGCAGAAGGCAGCCCATCAATGATGACTCTCTCATCATTGATGTTGCTCTCTCTCTCTCCCTCTCCCTTTCTCTCTCTGAAATCAATAAAAATATATATTTTTTAAAAAGTTACGATTAAATGTAAAGCCATGTTTTTGTGTGTGTGTGATTTTTAAAAACAATGAGCAAATCATTAAGGAAAAGGGAATTAATATTATCCATGCATGGAGGCTAAGTATGAGAAAGACAGTTAATATCTGTAAAGAGCTTCAGAGAAATACAGTTGATATAGCTTATGTCTTTTTTTTTTCCTGTCTAGCAACCAAACTCTCTTCCCAACAGCACAATGCAGCCTCCCTTCCCCAATGGGAGGCAGTGACTGCTTTGCACTATAGCAACTAGAAGATCCAGAACCTTCTTTCCTGGTTCTGGTACAGCTGGAGGTGAGCACACGACCTGGGCTTGGACACCTGAGTACCTGGTTCTGGGGCTCTGAAACTGTAGTCACACGGGACTTGAGGGGGGCAGCAGGTAGTGCTAACCTGACCTTTCCTGCAGTGTGGTCATTGCTTGGGCCTTGGTCCTCCACTGCCAGCCAGTTTTCAAAGCCCCAGAGAGCCTTCAAGCCTTTCCCATTGTTCAGGTAGCTTGCAGTGGCAAATCCTGAACAGTTTTTTAAGAATCATTATGTATGTAACGGTACTACATTTAACCCTCCGGAGAGATTCTTTCTACATTTTGCTGCTATATAAGAAAAGTCACAAAAGATAACGTAAGGTTATCCAGTAGAGTGCCTTGAGTGTGATGGGTACACCGGCGTCCTGTGTGCAACCTGCTTGTGCACTATTCTCCACACAAACTTCCCACTGCCTTGAAGCTGTGTTGGCTGCGCTACTCTCTGCCTGGCATGTGCGATCCTAACAAACTCTCCTTCTGTGCTCATTATATCACCAGGTACTGCTGCTCTACACCTAGGTGATTTTGTCTCCTCTGTCTCATATTTTTAAATTCCACTTTTCTTAAAAAATATATCTTTATTGATTTCAGAGAGAGGAAGGGAGAGGGAGAGAGAGATAGAAACATCAATGATGAGAGAGTCATTGATCAACTGCCTCCTGCACGCCCCCTCCTGGGGACCAAGCCCACAACCAGGGCATGTGCCCTGACCGGGAATCAAGCCGCCATCTCCTAGATCACAGGTCGATGCTCAACTGCTGAGCAACGCCAGCCAGGCTAAACACAGTTTTTTTTTTAAACAACTAAATTCAAAAGCAAGTCAAAAGTATACATATTTACTTAGGTCACGCCGTACAAATCTAATTACTACAAATATGCTTACCCATTTTGGGGTCTCCATGTTAAAAGAAAGCTTCCCTAACTAGAGAAATGAGACAATAGATACTGCTGCTCCAGCCAGTCCACTATGAGCTTAGATCTAAACAGAAGGCCATAGACAGTTAATCCCAAGGTTTTCAGGAGACACAATACCGGTTTGACCTCCTCTGTACATGCCCTTCATTCTTTCTCTACAGATAGTCTCTAATTTACCAATACAGCCACAATGGACACAAGACTTTCTTAAACAACAAAACTAAAATTACTCCTAAAGTCCCAGGCTCACTCAAGTGGGGCATTCTAGCAAAACCACTGCAACCAAAGCCTTGGAGAAGAGGCTCCCCTCACAAAGCAACAACTGGATCAGACCTAGCAGCTTCCGGAAAAGCATTACCACCACTGGCCCAGGTCAGCAAGGAAAAGCCTCAATAAATAATTCAAAATTAAAGAAATAAGCCCTAGCCTGTTTAGCTCAGTGGTTAGAGTATCAGCCGTTGGAATGAAGGGTCCCAGGTTTGATTCCGGCCAAGGGCACGTACCTTGGTTGCAGGCTTGATCTTTGATGTGCCCCTCTCACATCAATGTTTCTCTCCCCCCCCTTCTCTCTCCTCCCATACACTCTCTCTGAAAAGCAATACAAAAAAATACCCTTGGGCAAGCACTTAACAATAAAAATTAAAAGAAAAAGAACAGAGCTCCATCCAACAATAGTGAGATAGAGGCTACTTAGAGCCCCTCTAAGTTTGGTAATTCTAGGAGTGTAAAGGAAGCTCTTAGTTCATGTTGGAGATGCAGCCATCTGGGAAGAGCTTTATAAATCATAAAAATATAAATCCATGGTAGCCTATTAGTAAAAAGAAATGAAAATTATTGAGGTAGGTGTCTTAAAATAATACTAAGAAAAGCTGGTCCTCTAAAGAGGGAGTGCATTTGGCTAAAAATGTTGGAAATGACAGGTAAGCGTTGATGGCTGGTCACCACCTGGTCGAGAACATTTTTGTTTTGACAGCTCTTTGCCAACCAGACTTTTCAGACAAAAAGAGCCTGAGTTTTAAGACTCAAAGGTCAAGTCACTTCCAATCTGGAGAGCGGAGAGGATTAGGTGGACAAGCTTTAAGGAGGGGGGCTGGAGGACTATTTATAAATACCACCTTCTGGGTCAGCCAGGTCTTACATGACCAGACTACCTGCATCCATCACCCGGAGGCCTGGCATCCAACTGATAAGCATCTTGGGCCAACTAAGAATGCAGAACCGATTCATCTCAAGAATATGACTTTGCTATAAGAACTCGTAACTTTCCTTTCTTCTTCAGAACACTTCTGGGTTTTGCCTGATTGTGTTTCCAGACTCTGGACCCTTGAATACATCTTTGTTGATTATTTCTTTTAAACAAAGGAAGGCTCCCTTGTGATTTGTGTGCAGGACAAGCACAAAGGAACACTCCTTGGTTGTAGGATGCCTTAGCTCAGAGGAGAGCTGTCCTTGGTGGCCTCTTGTTTGCAGCCAGGCAGACAAAAGCAGCACTCCTCACATGTAAAAGAAAGAGCATCTTTAAAATAAGCTTCAGAACCGAAACAATAAACTTCAGAGCAAAATCAATACTGTGTAAAGTGTCAAGCCTTGGGAAAGATTTTTAAAAAAGAAAGTAAATGGAGATAAACATTATGGAAGAGTAAGAGACACTTGTCTCACTGGGGAAGATTAGGTAAGTCCTCTTATGTTTTAAAGAATAGATGTTATCTGGTATGATTTAGGTTGGGCAGGAGCTGGCGACAGGCCTGAGGTAGAGAAGGCATCCATGGAGGTGAAGGCGGTGGAGTGGGAAGGGAAGACTTGGGGTTTGGAAGAAACCAGTTAGATGAATGGGGTACTAGGTAAATTTCCTCTAGAGATGTGAATGAAGGGACTGGGATAAAGGATTTAAAATATTTTGTAACAACCATCTAGAAGCATTTTGGAAGGAGTACACTGGCTCTTGGAGTCTTAATTAGTTTTAAATGGAAATAGTCAACATCCATTTTTATATATTAAACAGAACAGATCCACTGTGCATGCCAGTACCTCACCGGCCAGTTGAGGGGGGAGGGAAGAATGAGGGAGATTAGGGGAGGGGAAGGGAGTAGAGAGAGGGAACAGGGAAGGCAAAGGTGGGAAAGAGGAAAGAAACAGAACACCCGCAAACAGAGGGAGAGAAAGACCTAAGGGAGGGAGTGAAAGAAAACATACTCAGAAAAAGAGACAAACAGAACCAACAGACGGCGCCAGGACACAAGGGAACAAAAAGGAAGAGCTCAGAAGTTTAGAGATGAGGTTCCAGTTTTTCCTACCTTAACACTGGATTATAAGAGTCGTCTAAGTTACTGCCTTTCATAGAATGGTTTGGAATTGATGGGAAGAGGGGGAAGACTGTGCACAACTGTTCAGCCCCTCTGAAAATGTTAATTGCCTGATTCATAGTTTCCTGTAGCCTATCATGCAAACTGGATGAAATGAAGAAGGTGCTAACTGGATGAAATGAAAGACGGTG